ACATTTTTGTCGCACGCAGGCCACGAGTCGTTGGAATATCACATTATCCATCCGACTCGTGTGAAAATGTCGAGAACCCAGCTTCGATCATTCGGAACCCACGCTAGTCGTGTTGGATACACACGACTTGTGTGAAACTTAGGCGACCTGAAACTCATTTTCACGGTGGCGCACGACCCCTGGAAGACTCTCCAACATCTCAGGCGTCTTTCAGTGGTCGGAAGTGGTGTCCAGTTGGCCGTATTGTCAACTCGGCAGTTTTCCTGTAGTTTTCGGGCCAACTTCCCCACCAGGACAGAGCCACCCATGGGCTAGGGTGGGCTCCTGTCCCATATAAAAAAAATAGAGGAATTTTCATCACATACCGTTCAATATACTTTATATTACACTTATACACCCAATAAATATTTATTTGTAACTCTACTAAATTCTGCATAGTTATTTGCACATATACCAGGTTTTTAATTTTATTAATTATAGAGAATAAATATAGAAAGAGAGATTTTTTTATAACTAATTCCTAATATCAAGGAATTAACTTTCTCTTTCTTTCACAGCGGTTGAAATTAAGGAAGGTCCGATCGAAAAGCGCACGATGGTTTCAAGCCACAGCCACCGAACCGGACCACCGTAGATCCGAAATTGAAAAGCAATTTTTGAAATTCAAGAATTTTTGGACTGTGTAAAGAGATTAAAATTAAGGAAGAAGAATTGGGGAGAAAAGTGGGTCTGGGCACATATACTGAATATATACTAACATAAACGCAAAATATACCACCTGACAGTCGTGAATTAAGGAATTCCAGTTACACGAATTAAGGAATTAAATGAGTCAGTTATTTATTTTCATTTCTCTCTCTTATGAGTCAGTTATAATTAAGGAGCTATAATTAAGGATGTAGCGTTTTATTTATATGGTCATTTACATGAGGTATACTTCTACTAAAATCCTAAATCTTAAGTATAGATACAATTAAATTTATCCCACTAGTAAAAATGCAATATCTTACTATTCTCTTACTGGAAGAGTGAAAATTTTCCAAAAAATTAATAACACTAACTTTACTTTTTAAATTATATCGCCCCATCTAATTTTATACCTAGCCCATTAATCCCATTCAAATTTGGCGAATTTACAATTACAAAACCTATTCATTTTATGCATAGCCCATTTATTTTAATTAGCCCAACAAATTACAACACCAACTAAATTTACACATAGCCCATTTATTTTACAAAACCAACCCATTACTAAAGTCTATCATCATTCCTCAGCCAGCCGGCCCTGTTCAATTCTCAACCGCAAGTCGCAAGCAGTTTGAAGCTCCAGCCGCAGCCGTTTTCTGCTCCCCCACCGTCCACCGACCCTACCGGCCGCCTTGCCTCTGTCCTCACCTCAAGTGCATGCCCGCTGACCCGCCTTCCCCTTCAATCTCTATTCCACAAGCAGATAGCAATTTTCAAGCTCTGAATTTCATATTTTTTTTTACATTGCTAATTCAATTTCTAGTGTAATTTGAGGTAACAAGTTTGTTCTCCACATCATTAATATTTGTGTTGTAATGAATAGAGGAATTGATTTGTGAAGAAAAAAGAAATGTAATAGTTGAATTTATGCACACCACTTGTGTTAGGTTCGGGCCGATCTGAGACAATTACAAATAGTGAATGTGTATATGTGTATGTGTAAGTTAGCTTACAATCATCCATAATAAATAGTGAATGTCAGTATATTTAAAAGTTTAATAGATAATTATCAATGTACAAATAGAAAATAAAAATGTAGGTGGAACGTGTAAGTTTGTGTTAATTTATTAAATTTTTCATTAAGTCCTAAACCAATTAAAATTGAGTGTATTTTTAAGCGGCGAACTTATATTAATTAACACACAAACTATAGACTAGAGAACAGCTAGAACAATTGAATCAATTAGCTAACGAAGTTGATCTAGGAGGTCTATTAAGGTATAGCCTAGAGTCGACACAAAATAACACAAACTAAAAATAACTACCAAACTCTCACATGGAAGTCTAGAACACTTAAATAATAGAACCAAATTAACACAAAAAGCAAACACTTAACAAAAACACACTAGAAGTCTAGAAGAAGTCACTCAACATAGGTTATTACTTATGAGTTTGGTTACATAAAATGCAAAAAGAAAAGTGAAGTCAGCAGTAAAGATCAGTGTCATTCACCCCGAACCGGCCCATCTGTAGACCTAGGATTCGGTCTTTTTGGGTAGGTGCTTCGAACCGAGTAACAATAGACTCAATCAAACCCGATAAAAAATTTAGAAGGAAGGGAAGATAAAATTTTAAGTTAAAACTCCCTCTCCTCCCATTTTCCTTCCCCTAAGGGTATGTTTGGTTCAACTGAGGGAAAGAGAGGGGAGGGATTTTAATGGAGGGGAAGGAAGGGAAGGAGATGTGATGTAAAATAATTTTACTTTGTTTGGAAGGATTTTGTTAGACGGGAGGTGAGGGAAAATAGTAAACATTGTTTGGTAATAAAATGAAAGAAGAGGGAAAATAATGTTAAAATGATAAATATATCCTTAATGATATTAGAAATAAGAATTAAAATATTATATATAATAAGGGCAAATTTGTAATTTAATGTGTTACAATTTTCTCTCCCCTCCAAATTTTTTCATTTTTGGAAGGGACCAAAAATGAGAAAGGGATGGGATTTTAACTTAAAATTTTCCCTCCCCTCCTATCCAATAATCCCAACCAAACAAGAGAAAAGTAAATAATTCTTTCCCCTCCCCTTCCCTCCCCTCCCCTCCCCTCCTTTTTTCCCCAACCAAACACTATCTAAAAAAAATCGGGGATTGAGGGGAGAGGAAATTTTAATGTGTGCATTACCATTCTATCCCTGTTAAATGGAATTTTTATTTTAATATTATTAGTGGCACAATTATTATTGTTACTTTATTTTTGTACTCCTTTATTTTCTAATCAAACAAGATTTACCATTTTCTCTATCTTTTCCTCTTACAAATTCTTCCAAACAAGTTAATACTATTTTACATTATCTCCCCTTCCTTCACTTCTCTTCCATTAATATCTCTCTCATTGAATAACTAAGCGTACATAAATAGCCAAAAATATCACACGATAATTCAATCACACTCAATACCTAAATTTATTATATCCACATCACCATTACCTTTTTAAAATAAAACAAACAAATAAATATAACAAAACCACATGTCTTACCCAATTTTCCGAACCACCTCACATGGGTTATGTATGTATGTGACTATGTGGTCAGAACCACCTTTGATAAAAAAAGAAAAATTATTACTAAATTTTCTAGTATGCACACACCACACATGCACTGATTAATAATTTTGAATATTGACCACAATATTCGAAAAAATCCAAATGCAGTTGATTTAAGTAGTATCTTATATTTTATGGACTATTTGTATTTTTTTCATCCTTCAATCATGCAGGAAAGTGCTGAAAAATGTAGGAATTACAGCCTTGATTTAAGCTAAGAAGTTGACATTTGAATATGTTCCAGATCTTTCGTATTATAGTTCGAATTTGATTGATGGTTAGAAAAGTCAATTTGTGCTATATATTTGTTTTCGATTAAGTGGGGTAATACATTAATAAATTTTATTTATCATTAACCTCTTATTACGCATATATTAATATGAATATTATTATTGAGTCAAATCGAGTAGTTCATGTGTGCTCGTTTAGTAAGTAAACCGGCTCATTTTGGTTCGAGCTCAACTTAGCCCGTCTAATAATCTAAGCCTCAGACGAGTTGTTTGTGAATAGTATGTAATCAAACTGAAGGAGCCGAGTTTAGGCTGTTTGAGCTCATGTTCGTTTATGTTTGAACAATAATATTCGTGTTCGTTCGTTTATTTTTCGAACAAAAAATCGTGTTCGAGGCTCGTTCGTTTAATTGTTCGCCAAAGTTCGAGTTCGCTCGTATTCGAATAATTTAGAACAATTTTTTTTTTTAAATATGTTTGATTAACTTGAAATTTGTTCCTTCGAAACCGTTCGAACTCGAAAATAAAAAAAATAAAATAAAATTATATTAAATTAGTTTTTGCGAACATTATCGAATGTTCACGGACGAGTTCGTGTTCGTTCGATTATTAAACGAACCTAATTTTTATCTGAGCTCGGCTCAATAACAAACGAACGAGCTTTTATCGAACACGAACGAGCATTTGTTTGCGAACGTTCAATTCGTTTACTGCCTTATTGTGAATAAGTTTATTTAATTGTTTCATTTAGAACCTAACGAAAATAATAAAAGAATTAAAAAATGAGTTTTTTCTTTTTTTGTTAATAAGTTCGACTAAACTCATTAATTAATAAATAAATCTGACTAACTTTTCAAGCAATGCTTGTTTAGATAATTGAATTCCTGAAGTCAGAACTTTCACGAATAGAATTGAATAAACTTCTTGATTTAATTAACTCCTCCTATTATAAAAAGATTCATATAAATTTTCACTAGCAAGGTCAAAAAAATATATTTATATTCAACAAGGGAGGCTTTGTAATTTACTCATCAAAGAAATGAATGTATTGAAGATGTAATAGTGTAACGGGGTAAAAGCAGGTAGCACCGTCACCGTGTCTTGACAGTTAAGGTTTAATGTGTCGGGGAGTTAGTCACCTGATACACCGGTGGCACTGTCGGCGGAGATTAGTGTCGGCACCGACACGTACGCCACATCTTTTACCGATAGGATATTATACGTTGGCAAATAAATTAAATGTTCATTTTGGACAAACCGCAAATAATGTGATGGAAATAAAAGTGGTGTTTCCATCTCATTGTCCAATTTTCTTTCCCAATTTTCTTTCAAAATTGTAATAAGAACTATACAAACTGCAATTTACATGATTTGATTGTGGAGATTACCTTAGTACGATTGTAATAAGATGTCGGTATCAAATCTGAAATAATATGGGAATTAAGATTTTGAGGCAAAAAAAAAAAATTATTGTGGACGCAGATATTAGCCTTATATTTAACTTGAGACCCCTTATTTAATTTAAAATCCCTGCCACTATATATATAGGTCTTAAAAACACTTATTAATTTTATGTACGTAGTGTCACAAAAACAACGAGATTGGGTTTAACACTACAAAAAAATAACATATTCCAACGGAAAATTTTACAGCATTATATTTCAATAGAAATTTCAATCGATATTTCAATGATATAGCTTTCGTTGAAATGAGTTTTCCATTTGAATTTAGATGGAATTTTATCATTCCAACGGTTTTTGACCGTAGAAATTTTATTGAAATATACAATTTCCGTTGGAATTTTTGTTTTCACTCATATTTCAACAGTTGGAAAATGTACCGTTTGAACCGTCAAAATCCAACGGAAATTTCAATGAAAAACTCATTTCAACGAAATATTTTTGTTGGAATTTCCGTTGAAATTCATTACAAAATTCCAACGGAAATAATAACATTAGAATATTCATTGGAATTGCCGTTGAAATTTCATTAGAGTATATTTCACCACATTCTTGTAGTGTAAATAGCGTACTATCATTAGTTTATTGTTAAAGAAGTTGTCATGATTGTTATTTTTTGTATCTTTGAAGTAAAGTTCCTAATGGGCAACCATAATTGTCTGACCATAGTTTAACAACCCACTTTCAATTACATTTTGCTTTAAAAGAANAAGTAAGTTACAAAAGAAAGCCTGACAAATAATCCACTTTTTGTAAACTAACATAGCTTCAGAAAAAAATAAATAAATAAATAAAAATGTATTTTTGGCAAATAAATTTGTGTATGATATTTGAAGAAGTTTTAATTGGTAGCCCTAGTAGTGGTCCCACGTTGAGAAATACACTTTTAAAATAAACAGTACTGTGTATGTACAAATAAAGTCTCAGTTTTCATTTGAAAATCTTATATACTTCTTTACAAAAGAAGGATTGTGTAAATTATGTCTGAACCACAAAAGGAATTACGGTCTACAAATGTCGATTTCTCTATGAAGAAGTCAACATAATTTTGTTCATACGATATTTAGCAGAAATCTATAGGATGAAATAGCTCTTGTATATACGTGATAAAATGTTCTCCTCATTTCACCATTAGACTCATTAAAACTTTAGTTACAATCCTTCATTTAATGTACGAGATAAAGAAGTATATAACTGTCTCGTATCTCACACATGTGAAATACTTATTATACTCTTACTTTAATTTAAATATAATTTATTTTGTTTCATTGAAAACTTATATTGTATTTAATTTCTAACTCATGTATATAATAAAAATAATTAAAAAGTAGGATGATTAAACTAAAAATGTACTAGAATGAAAAATCCCACCATCTTATCGTCACCCACAGCCGCCAGCCACCACCATTAGTGGTAGTTCATTGCTCGTCTACCAGCAATAAATTTCAACAAATTATATATCATTTTAAAGCTCTCAGCTCGATTTGTCCATGGATATATTTAATTTGATCATACGATACCTTAAACTTTGTTTAATTATTATTAGAGTTTTGAAAAAGTTAAAGAATTGTGCAGTAAATTATTTTGAAATGTCACGGAGATCCAACCGTTGGATTTTTATGAATCACACATGTACATGTACAAATCCACTTTCATAAGGTATCCAACTTCAGATCGTCGATCAAACCTTCAAATAGTTCAAAAAACGCCGACGAAGTTTCCAGAATTCCAACGGCGCGCTTCTGCTGACTGAAAACTTCAAGCGATGATTTCCGACAACTTGATTGTCCAAATTTGGTGGGTGAAGTAGTGAAAATATTATATTATTTTCAAAGTATGACACTTTATAACAAAAATATGAACATTTAAAATAAAAATATTTCCTCCTATTTTTATTATTTGTCATCCTGACTTAATTGATCATTTAATTAAATAAATGTCGTTTTGGCTATTTTGTTCATATTTTTTATTTTAACCCTCCATCTAATACACAATGTCTCTTCATATCCTATCTCTATCATTTCTCATAACATCCATTAAATAGAATTAATAGTGATAAGAAAAAAATTCTTAATTAGTGTGTTGCTTCTCAAAATGACAAATAATAAAAAAAGGATGGAGTATATAATATATTAGTTCGAGTAATATTATATTACCATTTGAAATGGAGAAATATTAACAAACTAATAAAAAAAACCTTTGTCCAGACTCAGTGTCGAGAATTGCGAGAATGGCGGTGGAATTGTGTGGGACCCGCTGGGGCATTGAAGGAGACTTAAACATCACAACAGTGAAATGGGTCTGTGAGTGAGTGAGAGTGTGTAAAAGACAGCTTGCAATGAAGCAAGAAATTTCACCTACCAGTGCCCTTTTTCTTTTTTAGCCTTACTATATTTTCCTTTTTCTCTTCTTCATATTCACTCCTTCATTCTTGATTTTTTTTCCTGTTCTTTCCTTAGCGTGAGTGGTGTTCAAGAAAAATCAAGCGCAAATATAAAGGTACATAAACATAAATGCATATATGCACACTCACTACTCGCTTTCTTTAAGTGAATAGTGAGAGAAATTTTCAGTGGGTTAAGTTTGAGCTCAGGTTTGGCACTTGGAGTGCATTTTCTAGCCTCTCTCTCTCTCTCTCTCTGTTTTCATTTTCCTTCTTTTTCATGGCGAATTAACAAGTTTGATGAGATTTTGCCCTTTTATAGTTTAAGGATAAGGAAATAAATTTTCAAATTTGCCTCCTTTTGGTCACGTTTTCCTCAATTAGCACTACATTTGGTATTTTTTAGATGTTCCAAAGCAGGACAACAATGTCCTTTTTTGTTTGCGTATCTGGGATTTTTCTTTAAAAAAAAATGTAATCTTTCTGAGGGGAAAATGGAGCTGTTGGATTTTCCATTTCTGAGAAATATTACCACTCATAAATTCTTTAACTGTACTTCTCTTTGTATTTCAATTGCTAAATTGTTTCCCTTTGCAAATTTTTCTTGCAGGATTTGCTCTACACTCTATTTTTTGTGTTCTCAAGTTTTTGGCCTTCACAGAAAAGCATACATATTCAAAAGGTTTGTCCCTTTCTATCCTGCATTTTGGCCTCAATTCTCAAAATTTATTTCTTGCCTTTTGTGTTGTATGGTGAATATTTTGTGCCTGTGGAGCTATATACAAGTCGAATGCTTACATTTGATTCGAGTTATCCGACTGTTTCACAATTTATTATTGCAGATACGTTTGAAGCATAGTTAGAATTTTTGGGTTCTTGTGAATAGGAAAAGAGAAATGCTTTAACTAAAGACATATATGGTCTCCATATGCCAAAGTTATTATTTCCTCTTTTCATATTGCTAATTTCCGTAATGGCATGTATATTCAATTTTAGAATGTGATTGATGGATATATTAAGAATTTCAAGAAAGAATCTGAAAAATCTTTTTAAGTTAAGGATTATTTTCATCTGTGTGTTAAATAGCTTCCCTAAGTAATTCCCACCTCTGTATAAGCTGTCAAGCATTTCATTTTTGCAATAATACTTCTGCACACATCTCTTCCTTTGAAGTTTTCTCTGATATTATATAGTGCCAATTGTTTATTTATTTATTTTTTTTCTCTCATTTTAGGAAGATTGTGTTAACAAAAGCATTGCTAGAGGCAAGATGGGCTCGGATGAAATCGACTGTGGAAACTTGTTCGACCAGATCGACGATTTGATCGAATTCCCACCTGAAAGTGAGTGTGATGATGGTGATTTAGTTGGTTCGGGAGATTGCAAGGATTTTTTCCCATCGTGGATAAACGAGGCCTTGCCGGATTCTGACCCGTTTTTACCGTCAGACCTCTCTGCTGAGCTCTCTGTGCCGGTGAGTTAAAAGACTAAAATTACAGATACTTTGTTGAAGTTTGTACTCAGTTAATGAAATATGTTTGTACTCACTTAATTATTTTAGGAAAACAAAACTGTCTGCCATATTTTAAAGCTTATTAGTGTTATGTGAGGAATATGTCAAAAAATTAAACAATTTGAACATTTTTTATTTGATTAGGAATATAAAAATTTAAGATAATAAAGTTTAAGGGGGTTCGATTTGATTTTGATGTGATGCCAAAATGGTTGGTTTTTATCATCATTGTATTCTTGGTGCATGTGGGGACACAACATGTGTTGAAATGTTAAGATCTTATTTGGTGCTTATTTGTCTCCTTTCAGCAATTAAGTGATGTTTGTAAAGTCTATATTAAAAAATGATGTGATAGATTTCGTTTTTAATTAACTTTTATTAACATAAAATGTGGTGGGGGCAAGAGCAAGAGCAAGAGCTGCTTTTGAAAAGCAATCATCGATTGGCATGAAAGTTTAAAAATTTCAAATATCAATGGAGGTTTAAAGTTTAAACTTTAAACCAAACTTTTGCCTTAGTTAATTTTATCATCATTTTTAATTTTAGTAATTCTCAAATGTTAAAAATCTTTATTTCCCTGTTTTCAGTATGAGGACATAGCCCAGCTCGAATGGCTGTCGACTTTCATGGAGGACTCGTTTTCGGGTCGGGGGCTGACCCTCCCGAAAAACGAGACCTCAAGCCCGGTCTCTGTGCTAGAAAGCAGTAGCAGCAGCAGCTCATCCTCCATCGGCAAAACCGGGCCTCCTCTCAGCCCGAACCACCGAAGCCCACAACGGGCCCGGAGCAAGCGTCCACGCAGGCCCGCTATCCAGCTCATCATCTCCCCCTCGTCCTCCTCTGCCACCCACAGCCCTCAAATATTTTCCGAGCCCGACAATTTTGTGGAGTCTCCATCTGCGAAGAAGGCCCGGATCAAACTGATTGAGAAGAAGAAGAAGAAGAAGATCAAGAAAATGCAAACGGGCCCTCCTGAGGATGGGCCGGGCCCGGCCCAGCCAATAAGGAAATGCCTGCACTGTGAGATAACCAAGACACCTCAGTGGCGGGCCGGGCCGATGGGCCCGAAGACACTTTGCAATGCATGTGGGGTCCGGTACAAATCGGGCCGGTTATTCCCAGAGTATCGGCCAGCAGCAAGCCCGACATTTATTCCGGCCGTGCACTCGAATTCGCATAAGAAGGTACTCGAGATGAGGGGCAAAGGCGAGGTCTAATGCCTAATGCCTAGCTTCTATTGTTTTGCATTATTTATAGTTAGCTTCTTCGGATATTTATTTCAACGTTGTTGCTAGGCTTTATTCCTTTGGTTCTTTTGTACATTGGTAATATAATGGTTTATGGTCTCCATTGTTTTTGTTGTTAGGTCCGTTGAAGTTTTATAGCTTTTTTCAGGACAGTATTGTTATTTATTGTCTCTATTTATGGCCGTAGAACATGTTATTTACCCTTTAGAGGGAATTCTTTTTGCAGTTGGTGGTACTTTGTTCTAGAGGGTTTTGGAGTTGGTTTTGTATTGTAATCAGCACATTAGAAAGGGATTGTATTTTGAACTTGAATTATGCTCTTAGTAGCTTCTTCTGTAAACGTTTCTTTCTAAAAATGTGGGAAATCATATCAAGCATCAATGATTGATGGAAACTTGTTGGAGTGTTACCTTGGAGTGTACCGGACTAATCAAACGTGATTGATATCATACACTTTTATTTGATTTTTTTCTCCGAAGGAGTAGAATGATTTAAAGATTGAAGATGATTGGAGCAAATTAGGTGACCTTATTGCCAGCAAAAATCTAGCATGATTAATGCTTTCGAGTTGGTTGGTTGCTTCTTTGAACGACCTCAAAGACATGCCAAGCAATTGTTGAATCTTTGATGGCAAAATATCCAGTATGACCAAGGCTTTCGTGCTGAACGATCACTTGTTTGAACGACCTCGTAAGGTCAGACAAGTGTTGGAGCCTTGATGACAAAAATCTAGCATGACTAAAGCTTTCGTGCTGGCGGATAGCTTGTTAAATGACCTCAAAGGTAGGTTGGGCAAGTTTTGGAGACTTGATGGCAAAAATCCAGTATGACTAAAGCTTTCGAATTGGCCGGTCGCTTGTTTGAACGACCTCAGAGGCAGGTCGGGCAAAATGTTGGAGCCATGATAGCAAAAATTTGACATGATTATAAGTTTAACTTGTATACCTTCACTAACTTGAATTTGGCCGGGAGAAGATAACTCGAGTTTTCATGCATCGACAAGTCAACTTGTATATCATCATTGACTTGAGTTCGACTATGACTATGTAAGTTCATTTTCAAGCCCCAACGTTTTCACCTCTTATACCATCGATGTCTTGAGGTGAAGGAGGTATGTTCGTTTTAAGTTATATATATATAACATAACAATACAATGTAATCTAGAACAAGGACGTTTATTCTGCTAGGTCCTTAGTAGTTATGGCAAGCAGAATACCACACAAGGTAAGGCCAAACGGGCCGACCAAACCATAAGAGATCTTGATGGGTAACGCGTGGCCCAAAGAAGAAAGAGAGAGGCCCAAAGTCGAACCATATCATCATATGCCCAAAATAAAAATTGTATACAACTAAAAAACTATAGCTCAAGGTTAAAAACATTAGATACCTCACATGTTTAAAGACACAATGTTGATGTAATGCGGGTTGACATAAAACTAAGCGCCCTGGAATTAACTAAATTAATAATCCCATGATTTTCAGCTGTCATGCAAATTAATGTTTTGGTACGTTTAGAAACAATCTGGAAATGGGCTGGAAATTTCCACTAAGCTAAGGCAAAAACCTAATATTTATCTACAAGTCTACAATTCTTGGATCTTGTTCTCATTGTCTGATTGTAATTCATGTTGCAGATTTACAAATCTTCTTTTTTCACACGATTCTAAATCCACACGGCCATGAGATATTAATTTCCATTTTCCTTTAATCTATTCATATACACATGTGGACTATATGATAGTATGCTGTCGGGTGGGTAAAATGTGTTGGCTATGCATGTGTGCCTTTATGTAGCTCCAACTTAATAGTCAATTTATTTCATGGATCATTACATACATTGAATTTATACACTACCAAAAATAAAAAAAAATAAAAAAAATAATTAATTATCATATTGCAACGGTAAATTCAACAGTAATATTTCAATTAAAATTTTAACGGATATTTCTACATTTATAATATTCGTTAGAAAAATCCAATGTATATTTCAGCAAAAATCCACAATATTTTTTCTTGGAATTTTTCATAAGAATTTCCTTAGATTTTTTAATTTGAATCATATTTTAACTGTTGAAATACTATCACTGAAACTGTTAAAATTCAACGAAAATTTCAATAGAATAATCTAACTGAATATTTTGTATGAATTTCTGTTAGAATTTATTGAAAAAATCCAACGCGAATAATAGTATTAGAATATTTATTGAAATTGCCCTTGGAACTATAAGAAAATATATTTTCGCTAGAATTTTGTCATTTTCTTGTAGTAGCACTAAATATATAAGAATTATTAGCTTATTGCAAATTTCTGTGAGGCAGCTCAATCATTAGACGAGATATACAAACCAAATTACGTAGGATAAAATCTTGCCACATCAACATATGAAATGTATTGCGAGTCTGTCATTTAATCTATAATATGTTTTTAATTAATATATAGAGGCATAACAATAAGATGGAGGAGATTCAGTAAATCAAGTTGGTAAAATTGTAAAATATGCTCAAGTAACTTGAGGCAAATGACAAGCTTGTCCTACAATTGTTGTGATTGCAAAAAATAAAAATGCACCTAATTAATAAAAATCGAGTAGAATATGCACAAATTAATGCAAAAAAAGAATCACTTAACATAATATGAAGACTAATTAACTTACGTGTTTGATCGGAATGTCTATGATTTAATAAGTTGGCTACTAGTCTTATCTTTCAATTTGTCAAATCAATGGTTATGTATACTTTCAATTATCATCGAAACCAAATGATAATTTATTAATTAATCATACAATGATACAATTGTTTCTTTACAACACAAACTATATAATAATTTCCTATTAAAAATACACTTAAAGGGCTACAACAAAATTGTATTTCAGTTGAATCATGGAAACTTTCCACGTATAAAGGTGCACTCTATACAAAGTTCACTTTAATTAAACATAGAAATGTGACACAAACCAGAGTTAATGTCAAATATTTATAACACTGAAATCAGTTGTTTGTCCAAATTATTTTCCTATACATTTGAATTAATTAATTCATTTCCATTTTCTTTTTACTTAATTTTTTAATTGTTGCAAACTATTTAGCTTTGAATACATCAAATCTCATGAAAATTTGCAATATAATGTCTCACATTCAACGCCTAGCCCTCGGTCTTGCACCTATTTCATTGTAAAACTAAAAATCATTAATTTGTGTGGTGGTGTAGTTAGTGAAATGAATAGCCATCAATAACATGCATGCATTGTGTTTACAAAAACAATACTCCCAACTCATAACTTCATAAGCTGTTACTGTCAACACTAATATTAATCGCAACCAAGTATATAATAACTTAATTCGTGTGAATAATGATCGCTGAAAATTTTAGAATTAATTATTTAGTTTAGTGACAGCTATCTCCTTACGTATTTTTTAATTCATGTGTTATTTTAATTCAAGAATACATTATATACCAACTTTGTTCGAAATTAGTTTTTTTTAAATAAAAGGTAATCAAAATAATTATTTATTTACAAACAAAACCAATTTTTATTCTCTTTTAGGAAAATAAAACTAGTAGATGACATCACAGTTGGACTTAATTTCATTATAATTTGATGGTTATATTTATTATTCTATAATTGCTTGATAATTACGTATCATTGTTTTCAAACACAAAAGACTTAAGCTGTCCAAGCAAAACGGATCAGTCCAGGTCATTATAGGATTACTGTCTCATGGCCCATCAAATTTTTGTCATATACTATATAAATATGTAATTATATTATATTTTGAAAATCAGAAGATAATTTCAAAATAAGTACGCGCGTTTGACTTTTTCAATTTCAGTATTGTTAAATAAAAATATGTAAAGCGTCATTAATAGCAAGTGATTTCTTAAAGGGAGCGCGAGGAGAAGGCCCAAGCATCAACACGGCGGACGCGTTGTTTATGGGCCTGGGGTTGACTATTCAAGGCCCCTCACGTGACCCGAATGAATGTTGTCTCTCTCTCTTTTTTTTTTTTCTTTTTTTTTTTTTTTTTTTTTTTTTTTTTTTTTTTT